AATGCCCTCTTACATAATAATACTTGGTGTCTCACTCCGGCTAAACCCGGTATGAATATTGTGGGTTGTAAGTGGGTCTACCGTACTAAACGGAAGGCAGACGGCACGATTGAACGCCATAAGGCCCGCTTGGTTGCCAAAGGGTTTAATCAAGTAGCTGGCGAAGACTTCTTTGAGACATTTAGCCCGGTTGTTAAACCAACCACGGTTCGTATCTTGCTTGCCATGGCTGTATCTCGTGGGTGGACGCTACGCCAGCTTGATGTTCACAATGCTTTTCTAAACGGCCGACTAACAGAGACTGTCTATATGTGTCAGCCGCCGGGTTATGAAGACCCGGTTCATCCTGACTATGTTTGTCATCTACAGCGGTCTTTATACGGCCTTAAGCAGGCCCCACGAGCCTGGTTTAATCGGCTTCACGACTATCTTCTGACGTCAGGATTTGTGGCTTCCAAAACTGATGTGTCTTTATTTTATTACACATTGAAAGACTCACGCATTTATTTGCTTGTGTACGTAGACGATATTATCATGATGGGTAACGACTCGAGTCTCCTTGATGAGCTACTACATCGCCTCTCCTCCACTTTCAAAATTCGGGATTTAGGGACTCCTACGTTCTTCCTCGGCATTGAGACTATACCCCTAGATGGCGGCATATTATTGTCTCAACGCCGTTACATGGATGATATTCTTACACGTGCTGGTATGACGGATTGCAAGTCTCTATCCACACCAGCAGCAGTGACGAAGTCTGCGACACCGACTACAGATCTCTACGAGAACCCGACTCAATATCGTCGGTTGGCAAGGGCACTACAGTATCTCACTATCACTCATCCGGATCCCTCTTATGCAGTTAACAGACTCTGCCAGTTCATGCACACTCCTACTGATGAACATTGGGCCATGCTAAAACGTGTTCTTCGCTATGTGAAGGGTACTATCACACACGCCTTACGGCTTTCTGTGTCATCTTCCTCTGATGTGCATGCATATTCCGACTCTGACTGGGCTGGTTGTCCGGTGGACAGAAAGTCAACCAGCGGCTATGCTGTGTTCCTTGGGTCTAATCTGGTTTCTTGGGTTTCTCGCAAGCAGCGGACCGTGTCTAGGTCATCTACTGAGGCAGAGTACAAGGGTCTTGCTGACGTGGCTGCGGAGGTCACCTGGGTTATGTCGCTGCTTTGTGAGCTTGGACTACATTCACGAAATCCCGCCACGTTGTGGTGCGACAACCTTGGTGTTACTTACATGTGTGCCAATCCCGTGTTCCACGCCAGGACTAAGCATGTCGAGATTGACTACCATTTCGTCCGCGATAAGGTGTCTACAGGGGAGTTCTTGGTCAATTTTGTCTCTACGAAGGACCAACTTCATGACATCTTCACCAAGCCACTAGCTTCTGCTCGTTACAGCTCTTTGAGGGACAAGCTCAATGTTGTGTCTCCACCACCTTCAGCTTGAGGGGGTATGTTAGTAGTGTTACATTATTAGTATAATTATATGTAACATTATAGTTAGAGTTGATTTAGTCTTGTAACCTACAGCTATTATGTGGGGTTAGTTAGATAGGCTTCTATCTCTTTTCTCATTGTGTAACTGTCAGAGTTTGAATTCACGAAAAATATTCACTCATCGATTGAGTATATGCGTGGGTGTTATTGACTATAAGCGGTAATAAAAAGAAGTGAGGGGTGTTGTGAGAATCGAAATCACAACATCTTACACCCAAAGCAAGAATCATACCACTAGACCAAACACCCAATTGATGGTGAATGCACTATTTACGTAATGGGAACTATAGTGTTGGGAAATTATACTATTAGACCATGTAATGTGGACCACAGATAAATGCTCACTTTTAGGGCGTTTTTGGTTTGCACATGGGAATCGTAATTTGAATGGGTATCAAATACTTGGAAATGGTAATGGATTTTAGTGAAAGTATTTTGCATGTTTGGTAGTAGTGTGGAATGAGAATGATTATCAATAATGCTGTTTGGTTATGTATGATCCTATAATGGGAATAAAGATTTTTTAAATACAAGAACACAAAATCAAGATGAGTGATTGATGGTGTATATGCGTGAGTGTGACTTGCTGTAAGCGGTAATAAAATATTAAGTGAGGGGTGTTATGAAAATCGAACTCACGACTTCTTGCACCCAAAGTAAGAATCATACCACTAGACCAAACACCCAATTGATGGCAAATGCACTACTTACGTAATGGGAACTATAGTGTTGGGAAATTATACTATTAGACCATGTAATGTGGACCACTGATAAATGCTCACTTTTAGGGTGTTTTTGGTTCGCACATGGGAATCGTAATTTGAATGGGTATCATATACTTGGAAATGGTAATAGATTTTAGTGAAAGTATTTTACATGTTTGGTAGTATTGTGGAATGAGATTGATTATCAATAATGCTGTTTGGTTATGTATGATCCTATATTAAGAATAAAGATTTTAAAAATACAACAACACAAAATCAAGATGAGAGATTGATTGAGTATATGCGTGGGTGTGATTTGCTATAAGCGGTAATAAAATAAAGTGAGGGGTGTTGTCAAAATCGAACTCACGACCTCTTGCACCCAAAGCAAGAATCATAACACTAAACCAAACACCCAATTGATAACAAATGCACTATTTATGTAATGGGAACTATAGTGTTGGGAAATTATACTATTGGACCACGTAATGTTGACCACAGATAAATGCTCACTTTTAGGGTGTGTTTGGTTCGCACATCGGAATCGGAATAGAAATGTGTATCAAATACTTGGTAATGGTAATGGATTTTAGTGAAAGTATTTTGCATGTTTGGTTGAAGGGTGGAATGAGAATGATTATTAATAATGCTGTTTGGTTATGTATGATCCTATAATGGAATAAAGATTATAAAAATACAAGAACACAAAATCAAGATGAGAGATTGATTGAGTATATGCATGAATGTGATTTGCTGTAAGCGGTAATAAAATAGGGCCAGGGGTGTTGTGAGAATCGAACTCACGACCTCTTGCACCCGAAGCAAGAATCATACCACTAAACCAAACACCCAATTGATGGCGAATGCACAATTTACGTAATGGGAACTATAGTGTTGGGAAATTATACTACTGGACCATGTAATGTGGACCACTGATAAATGCTCACTTTTAGGGTGTTTTTTGTTCGCACATGGGAATCGTAATTTGAATGGGTATCAAATACTTGGAAATGGTAATGGATTTTAGTGAAAGTATTTTGCATGTTTGGTAGTAGTGTGGAATGAGAATGATTATCAATAATGCTGTTTGGTTATGTATGATCCTATAATGGGAATAAAGATTTTAAAAATACAAGAACACAAAATCAAGATGAGAGATTGATGGTGTATATGCGTGAGTGTGACTTGCTATAAGCGGTAATAAAATAAAGTGAAAGGTGTTGTGGGAATCAAACTCACGACCTCTTGCACCCAAAGCAAGAATCATACCACTAGACCAAACACCTAATTGATAGTAAATGCACTATTTACGTAATGGGAACTATAATGTTGGGAAATTATACTATTGGACCACGTAATGTTGACCACAGATAAATGCTCACTTTTAGGGTGTATTTGGTTTGCACATCGGAATCGAAATATAAATGGGTATCAAATACTTGGTAATGGTAATGGATTTTAGTGAAAGTATTTTGCATGTTTGGTTGTAGGGTGGAATGAGAATGATTATTAATAATGCTGTTTGGTTATGTATGATCCTATAATGGGAATAAAGATTATAAAAATACAAGAACACAAAATTAAGATGAGAGATTGATTGAGTATATGCATGAGTGTGATTTGCTGTAAGCGGTAATAAAATAGGATCAGGGGTGTTGTGAGAATCAAACTCACGACCTCTTGCACCCAAAGCAAGAATCATACCACTAGACCAAACACCCAATTTATGGTGAATGCACTATTTACGTAATGGGAACTATAGTGTTGGGAAATTATACTACTGGACCATGTAATGTGGACCACTGATAAATTCTCACTTTTAGGGTGTTTTTAGTTCGCACATGGGAATCATAATTTGAATGGGTATCAAATACTTGGAAATGGTAATGGATTTTAGTGAAAGTATTTTTCATGTTTGGTAGTAATGTGGAATGAGAATGATTATCAATAATGCTGTTTGGTTATGTATGATCCTATAATGGGAATAAAGATTTTAAAAATACAAGAACACAAAATCAAGATGAGAGATTGATGGTGTATATGCGTGAGTGTGACTTGCTGTAAGCGGTAATAAAATATTGGGTGAGGGGTGTAGTGAGAATCGAACTAACGACCTCTTGCACCCAAAGCAAAAATCATACCACTAGACCAAATACCCAATTGATGGCGAATGCACTATTTACGTAATGGGAACTATAGTGTTGGGAAATTATACTATTGGACCACGTAATGTTGACCACAGATAAATGCTCACTTTTAGGGTGTATTTGGTTCGCACATCGGAATCGAAATATAAATGGGTATCAAATACTTGGTAATGGTAATGGATTTTAGTGAAAGTATTTTGCATGTTTGGTTGTAGGGTGGAATGAGAATGATTATTAATAATGCTGTTTGGTTATGTATGATCCTATAATGGGAATAAAGATTATAAAAATACAAGAACACAAAATCAAGATGAGAGATTGATTGAGTATATGCATGAGTGTGATTTGCTGTAAGCGGTAATAAAATAGGGTCAGGGGTGTTGTGAGAATCAAACTCACGACCTCTTGCACCCAAAGCAAGAATCATACCACTAGACCAAAAACTCAATTGATGGAAAATGCACTATTTACGTGTTGAGAATGATTATCAATAATGCTGTTTGGTTATGTATGATCCTATAATGGGAATAACGATTTTAAAAATACAAGAACACAAAATCAAGATGAGAGATTGATGGTGTATATGCGTGAGTGTGACTTGCTGTAAGCGGTAATAAAATATTGGGTGAGGGGTGTTGTGAGAATCGAACTCACGACCTCTTGCACCCAAAGCAAAAATCATACCACTAGACCAAACACCCAATTGTTGGTAAATGCACTATTTACGTTATGGGACCTATAGTGTTGGGAAATTATACTACTGGACCATGTAATGTGGACCACTGATAATTGCTAACTTTTAGGGTGTTTTTGGTTCGCACATGGTAATCGTAATTTGAATGGGTATCAAATACTTGGAAATGGTAATGGATTTTAGTGAAAGTATTTTGCATGTTTGGTAGTAGTGTGGAATGAGAATGATTATCAATAATGCTGTTTCATTATGTATGATCCCATAATAAGAATAAAGATTTTAAAAATACAAGAACACAAAATCAAGATGAGAGATTGATTGAGTATATGCGTGGGTGTGATTTGTTGTGAACAGTAATTAATTAGGGTCAGGGGTGTTGTGAGAATCAAACTCACGACCTTTTGCACCCAAAGCAAGAATCATACCACTAGACCAAACACCCAATTGATGGCGAATGCACTATTTACGTAATGGGAACTATAGTTTTGGGAAATTATACTTTTAGACCATGTAATGTGGACCACAGATAAATGCTCACTTTTAGGGCGTTTTTGGTTCGCACATGGGAATGGTAATTTGAATGGGTATCAAATACTTGGAAATGGTAATGGATTTTAGTGAAAGTATTTTGCATGTTTGGTAGTAGTGTGGAATGAGAATGATTATCAATATTGCTGTTTGGTTATGTATGATCTTATAATGGGAATAAAGATTTTAAAAATACAAGAACACAAAATCAAGGTGAGAGATTGATTGTGTATATGCGTGAGTGCCACTTGCTGTAAGCGGTAATAAAATATTAAGTGAGGGGTGTTGTGAGAATAGAACTCACGACCTCTTGCACCCAAAGCAAAAATCATACCACTAGACCCAACACTCAATTGATGGTGAATGCACTATTTACGTAATGGGAACTATATTGTTGGGAAATTATACTATTGGACCACGTAATGTTGACCACAGATAAATGCTGACTATTAGGGTGTATTTGGTTCGCACATCGGAATCGGAATATAAATGGGTATCAAATACTTGGTAATGGTATTGGATTTTAGTGAAAGTATTGTGCATGTTTAGTTGTAGGGTAGAATGAGAATGATTATTAATAATGCTGTTTGGTTATGTATGATCCTATAATGGGAATAAAGATTATAAAAATACAAGAACACAAAATCAAGATGAGAGATTGATAGAGTATATGCATGAGTGTGATTTGCTGTAAGCGGTAATAAATTAGGGTTAGGGTTGTTGTGAAAATCAAACTCACGACTTCTTGCACCCAAAGCAAGAATCATACCACTAGACCAAACACCCAATTAATAACAAATGCACTATTTACGTAATGGGAATTATAGTGTTGGGAAATTATACTATTGGACCATGTAATGTGGACCACTGATAAATGCTCACTTTTAAGGTGCTTTTAGTTCGCACATGGGAATCGTAATTTGAATGGGTATCAAATACTTGGAAATGGTAATGGATTTTAGTGAAAGTATTTTGCATGTTTGGTAGTAATGTGGAATGAGAATGATTATCAATAATGCTGTTTGGTTATGTATGATCCTATAATGGGAATAAAGATTTTAAAAATACAAGAACACAAAATCAAGATGAGAGATTGATGGTGTATATGCGTGAATGTGACTTGCTATAAGCGGTAATAAAATATTGGGTGAAGGGTGTTGTGAGAATCGAACTAACGACCTCTTGCAGCCAAAGCAAAATTCATACCACAAGACCAAATACCCAATTGATGGTGAATGCACTATTTACGTAATGGGAACTATAGTGTTGGGAAATTATACTATTGGACCACGTAATGTTGACCACAGATAAATGCTCACTTTTAGGGTGTATTTGGTTCGCACCTCGGAATCGAAATATAAATGGGTATCAAATACTTGGTAATGGTAATGGATTTTAGTGAAAGTATTTTGCGTGTTTGGTTGTAGGGTGGAATGAGAATGATTATTAATAATGCTGTTTGGTTATGTATGATCCTATAATGGGAATAAAGATTATAAAAATACAAGAACACAAAATCAAGATGAGAGATTGATTGAGTATATGCATGAGTGTGATTTGCTGTAAGCGGTAATAAAATAGGGTCAAGGGTGTTGTGAGAATCAAACTCACGACCTCTTGCACCCAAAGTAAGAATCATACCACTAAACCAAACACCCAATTGATGGTAAATGCACTATTTACGTAATGGGAACTATAGTGTTGGGAAATTATACTACTGGACCATGTAATGTGGACCACTGATAAATGCTCACTTTTAGGGTGTTTTTGGTTTGCACATGGGAATCGTAATTTGAATGGGTATCAAATACTTGGAAATTGTAATGGATTTTAGTGAAAGTATTTTGCATGTTTGGTAATAGTGTGGAATGAGAATGATTATCAATAATGCTGTTTGGTTATGTATGATCCTATAATGGGAATAAAGATTTTAAAAATACAAGAACACAAAATCAAGATGAGAGATTGATGGTGTATATGCGTGAGTGTGACTTGCTGTAAGCGGTAATAAAATATTGGGTGAGGGGTGTTGTGAGAATCGAACTCACGACCTCTTGCACCCAAAGCAAAGATCATACCACTAGACCAAACACCCAATTGTTGGTAAATGCACTATTTACGTTATGTGACCTATAGTGTTGGGAAATTATACTACTGGACCATGTAATGTGGACCACTGATAAATTCTAACTTATAGGGTGTTTTTGGTTCGCACATGGGAATCGTAATTTGAATGGGTATCAAATACTTGGAAATGGTAATGGATTTTATTGAAAGTATTTTGCATGTTTGGTAGTAGTGTGGAATGAGAATGATTATCAATAATGTTGTTTCGTTATGTATGATCCTATAATAAGAATAAAGATTTTAAAAATACAAGAACACAAAATCAAGATCAGAGATTGATTGAGTATATGCGTGGGTGTGATTTGCTATAAGCGGTAATAAAATAAGGTGAGGGGTGTTGTGAGAATCGAACTCACGACCTCTTGCACCCAAAGCAAGAATCATACCACTAGACCAAACACCCAATTGATGGCAAATGCACTATTTACGTAACGGGAACTATAGTTTTGGGAAATTATACTATTAGACCATGTAATGTGGACCACAGATAAATGCTCACTTTTAGGGCGTTTTTGGTTCGCCCATGGGAATCGTAATTTGAATGGGTATCAAATACTTGGAAATGGTAATGGATTTTAGTGAAAGTATTTTGCATGTTTGGTAGTAGTGTGGAATGAGAATGATTATCAATAATGCTGTTCGGTTATGTATGATCCTATAATGGGAATAAAGATTTTAAAAATACAAGAACAGAATATCAAGATGAGAGATTGATTGAGTATATGCATGAGTGTGATTTGCTGTAAGCGGTAATAAAATAGGGTCAGGGGTGTTGTGAGAATCGAACTCACGACCTCTTGCACCCAAAGCAAGAATCATACCACTAGACCAAACACCCGATTGATGGTGAATGCACTATTTACGTATTGGGAACTATAGTGTTGGGAAATTATACTATTGGACCACGTAATGTTGACCACAGATAAATGCTCACTATTAGGGTGTATTTGGTTCGCACATCGGAATCGGAATATAAACGGGTATCAAATACTTGGTAATGGTATTGGATTTTAGTGAAAGTATTTTGCATGTTTGGTTGTAGGGTGGAATGAGAATGATTATTAATAATGTTGTTTGGTTATGTATGATCCTATAATGGGAATAAAGATTATAAAAATACAAGAACACAAAATCAAGATGAGAGATTGATTGAGTATATGCATGAGTGTGATTTGCTGTAAGCGGTAATAAAATAGGGTTAGGGGTGTTGTGAGAATTGAACTCACGACCTCTTACACCCGAAGCAAGAATCATACCACTAGACCAAACACCCAATTGATGGCTATTGCACTATTTACGTAATGGGAACTATAGTGTTGGGAAATTATACTACTGGACCATGTAATGTGGACCACTGATAAATGCTCACTTTTAGGGTGTTTTTGGTTCGCACATGGGAATCGTAATTTGAATGGGTATCAAATACATGGAAATGGTAATGGATTTTAGTGAAAGTATTTTGCATGTTTGGTAGTATTGTGAAATGAGAATGATTATAAATAATGCTGTTTGGTTATGCATTATCCTATAATGGGAATAAAGATTTTAAAAATACGAGAACACAAAATCAAGATGAGAGATTGATGGTGTATATGCGTGAGTGTGACTTGCTGTAAGCAGTAATAAAATATTGGGTGAGGGGTGTTGTGAGAATCGAGCTCACGACCTCTTGCACCCAAAGCAAAAATCATACCACTAGACCAAACACCCAATTGATGGTAACTGCAATATTTATATAATGGGAACTATAGTGTTGGGAAATTATACTATTGGACCACGTAATGTTGACCACAGATAAATGCTCACTTTTAGGGTGTGTTTGGTTCGCACATCGGAGTCGGAATAGAAATGTGTATCAAATACTTGGTAATGGTAATGGATTTTAGTGAAAGTATTTTGCATGTTTGGTTGTTGGGTGGAATGAGAATGATTATTAATAATGCTGTTTGGTTATGTATGATCCTATAATGGGAATAAAGATTTTAAAAATACAAGAACACAAAATCAAGATGAGAGATTGATGGTGTATATGCGTGAATGTGACTTGCTATAAGCGGTAATAAAATATTGGGTGAAGGGTGTTGTGAGAATCGAACTAACGACCTCTTGCAGCCAAAGCAAAATTCATACCACTAAACCAAATACCCAATTGATGGTGAATGCACTATTTACGTAATGGGAACTATAGTGTTGGGAAAATATACTATTGGACCATGTAATGTGGACCACAGATAAATGCTCACTTTTATGGGCCGTTTGGTTCACGGATTCAATTTGGAGGGAATTGGAATGATATTCCAAAGGGAATGGAATAGGTAAGGAATAGAATAGAAATTGTATTCTGTTGTTTGGTTCGCTGGTGGAATAGACTTTAGGAATTATATTTCCACGTTTGGTTGGTTAAGGAATAGAAATGGAATATATGGGTAAAAGACATAAATGCCCTTGTACAAAATATATTATTATTATTATTATTATTATTATTATTATTATTATTATTATTATTATTATTATTATTATTATTATTATTATTATTATTATTATTATTATTATTCGGAATTCAAATAAACTATTTTATAAACCATAATTTTACCTAAATGTTTGGGCTCAAATAAACTATTTTATAAGCCATAATTTTACCTAAATTTTAGCCCAAACTATTGGTTCATCTTCAACCCCTCCTTGTGTCTCTCTCTTTGTTCAATCTAGCAGACGCAACAAGCCAGCACCGTGAACTTGGACGACCCTCTGTCTCTCTACCTTGAACAAGCCACCACCCTCACTCTCTCTGCCTTCTTCCCTCTCTTGCTTCCTCAATCAGCGACGACAGCGATGGTGGAGCTCCGGAGACGGCGGATTGAGACAGCAACGAGTAGATCGGTGAAACTCGAAGGCGGTTGACCTTTTTCCGGCGTGAATTGGACGATGAGCAGCAGATCTGGACCAAGTCCTCCTCTCCAGCGAACTGTTGCGGCGGCCTCCGGCGTGGACAGTGGCGTCGTGGCGGCAATATGGGTGTTTTGATGTATGTATGTATATAATTAATATACTTATTTATTAAAAAAATATAATAAATAGAGTAGGGGAAAGAAGTAACCCAGCAGTGGGAACAGGGAAGATGACTGGGATGATGATGATGTCAATGATGATGCTTCGACCTTCAACTTTCTGTTCACTGTTTTTATCAATATGGTTACGAGTTCTGACAAAAAAAAAAATTCATATAAAAATTAAAGAAATGTAAATTTTAGTTTTAGTTGAGGGGTAAAATAGGAAATCTTAATTGTAGGCTATTCCAGACAACTTAGGAATATCCTAATACCTAAGGGGGGGCCGGAATCCCTATTCCCCTTACAAGGGGAATAGGTCGTTCCCATGAACAATGTTCCCGGGAATAGAAATTTCTACCAAACACCGGAATAGGCCTATTACTGGGAATGCTATTCCATTCCAGGCCTATTCCGCGAACCAAACGGGCCATTAGGGTGTTTTTGGTTCGCACATGGGAATCGTAATTTGAATGGGTATCAAATACTTGGAAATGGTAATTGATTTTAGTGAAAGTATTTTGCATGTTTGGTAGTAGTGTGGAATGAGAATGATTATCAAAAATGTTGTTTGGTTATGTATGATCCTATAATGGGAATAAAGATTTTAAAAATACAACAACACAAAATCAAGATGAGAGATTGATTGAGTATATGTGTGGGTGTGATTTGCTATAAGCGGTAATAAAATAAGGTGAGGGGTGTTGTGAGAATCGAACTCACGACCTCTTGCACCCAAAGCAAGAATCAGACCACTAGACCAAACACCCAATTGATAACAAATGCACTATTTACGTAATTGGAACAATAGTGTTGGGAAATTATACTATTGGACCATGTAATGTGGACCACAGATAAATGCTCACTTTTAGGGTATTTTTGGTTCGCACATGGGAATCGTAATTTGAATGGGTATCAAATACTTGTGGAAATGGTAATGGATTTTTGTGAAAGTATTTTGCATGTTTGGTAGTAGTGTGGAATGAGAATGATTATCAATAATGCTGTTTGGTTATGTATGATCCTATAATAAGAATAAAGATTTTAAAAATACAAGAACACAAAATCAAGATGAGAGATTGAGTATATGCGTGGGTGTGATTTGCTATAAACGGTAATGAAATAAAGTGAGAGGTGTTGTGAGAATCAAACTCACGACCTCTTGCACCCAAAGCAAGAATCATACCACTACACCAAACACCCAATTGATAACAAATGCACTATTTACGTAATGGGAACTATAGTGTTGGGAAATTATACTATTGGACCATGTAATGTGGACCACTGATAAATGCTCACTTTTAGGGTGTTTTTGGTTCACACATGGGAATCGTAATTTGAATGGGTATCAAATACTTGGAAATGGTAATGGATTTTATTGAAAGTATTTTGCATGTTTGGTAGTAGTGTGGAATGAGAATGATTATCAATAATGTTGTTTCGTTATGTATGATCCTATAATAAGAATAAAGATTTTAAAAATACAAGAACACAAAATCAAGATCAGAGATTGATTGAGTATATGCGTGGGTGTGATTTGCTATAAGCGGTAATAAAATAAGGTGAGGGGTGTTGTGAGAATCGAACTCATGACCTCTTGCACCCAAAGCAAGAATCATACCACTAAACCAAACACCCCATTGATAGAAAATGCACTATTTACGTAATTGGAACTATAGTGTTGGGAAATTATACTATTGGACCATGTAATGTGAACCACAGATAAATGCTCACTTTTAGGGTATTTTTGGTTCGCACATGGGAATCGTAATTTGAATGGGTATCAAATACTTGGAAATGGTAATGGATTTTAGTGAAAGTATTTTACATGTTTGGTAGTATTGTGGAATGAGAATGATTATCAATAATGTTGTTTGGTTATTTATGATCCTATAATGGGAATAAAGATTTTAAAAATACAACAACACAAAATCAAGATGAGAGATTGATTGGGTATATGCGTGGGTGTAATTTGCTATAAACGGTAATGAAATAAAAGTGAGGGGTGTTGTGAGAATCGAACTCACGACCTCTTGCACCCAAAGCAAGAATCATACCACTAGACCAAACACCCAATTAATGGTGAATGCACTATTTACGTAATGGGAACTATAGTGTTGGGAAAATATACTATTGGACCATGTAATGTGGACCACAGATAAATGCTCACTTTTAGGGTGTGTTTGGTTCGCACATCGGAATCGGAATAGAAATGTGCAAATACTTGGTAATGGTAATGAATTTTAGTGAAATTATTTTGCATGTTTGGTTGTAGGGTGGAATGAGAATGATTATTAATAATGTTGTTTGGTTATGTATGATCCTATAATGGGAATAAAGATTTTAAATATACAAGAACACAAAATCAAGATGAGAGATGGATTGAGTATATGCGTGGGTGTGATTTGCTGTATGCAGGGTCAGGGGTGTTGTGAGAATCTAACTCACGACCTCTTGCACCCAAAGCAAGAATCATACCACTAGACAAAACACCCAATTGATGGCGTATGCACTATTTACATAATGGGAACTATAGTGTTGGGAAAATATACTATTGGACCATGTAATGCGGACCACAGATAAATGCTCACTTTTAGGGTGTTTTTGGTTCGCACATGGGAATCGTAATTTGAATGGGTATCAAATACTTGTGGAAATGGTAATGGATTTTTGTGAAAGTATTTTGCATGTTTGGTAGTAGTGTGGAATGAGAATGATTATCAATAATGCTGTTTGGTTATGTATGATCCTATAATAAGAATAAAGATTTTAAAAATACAAGAACACAAAATCAAGATGAGAGATTGAGTATATGCGTGGGTGTGATTTGCTATAAACGGTAATGAAATAAAGTGAGAGGTGTTGTGAGAATCAAACTCACGACCTCTTGCACCCAAAGCAAGAATCATACCACTACACCAAACACCCAATTGATAACAAATGCACTATTTACGTAATGGGAACTATAGTGTTGGGAAATTATACTATTGGACCATGTAATGTGGACCACTGATAAATGCTCACTTTTAGGGTGTTTTTGGTTCACACATGGGAATCGTAATTTGAATGGGTATCAAATACTTGGAAATGGTAATGGATTTTATTGAAAGTATTTTGCATGTTTGGTAGTAGTGTGGAATGAGAATGATTATCAATAATGTTGTTTCGTTATGTATGATCCTATAATAAGAATAAAGATTTTAAAAATACAAGAACACAAAATCAAGATCAGAGATTGATTGAGTATATGCGTGGGTGTGATTTGCTATAAGCGGTAATAAAATAAGGTGCGGGGTGTTGTGAGAATCGAACTCATGACCTCTTGCACCCAAAGCAAGAATCATACCACTAAACCAAACACCCCATTGATAGAAAATGCACTATTTACGTAATTGGAACTATAGTGTTGGGAAATTATACTATTGGACCATGTAATGTGAACCACAGATAAATGCTCACTTTTAGGGTATTTTTGGTTCGCACATGGGAATCGTAATTTGAATGGGTATCAAATACTTGGAAATGGTAATGGATTTTAGTGAAAGTATTTTACATGTTTGGTAGTATTGTGGAATGAGAATGATTATCAATAATGTTGTTTGGTTATTTATGATCCTATAATGGGAATAAAGATTTTAAAAATACAACAACACAAAATCAAGATGAGAGATTGATTGGGTATATGCGTGGGTGTAATTTGCTATAAACGGTAATGAAATAAAAGTGAGGGGTGTTGTGAGAATCGAACTCACGACCTCTTACACCCAAAGCAAGAATCATACCACTAGACCAAACACCCAATTAATGGTGAATGCACTATTTACGTAATGGGAACTATAGTGTTGGGAAAATATACTATTGGACCATGTAATGTGGACCACAGATAAATGCTCACTTTTAGGGTGTGTTTGGTTCGCACATCGGAATCGGAATAGAAATGTGCAAATACTTGGTAATGGTAATGAATTTTAGTGAAATTATTTTGCATGTTTGGTTGTAGGGTGGAATGAGAATGATTATTAATAATGTTGTTTGGTTATGTATGATCCTATAATGGGAATAAAGATTTTAAATATACAAGAACACAAAATCAAGATGAGAGATGGATTGAGTATATGCGTGGGTGTGATTTGCTGTATGCAGGGTCAGGGGTGTTGTGAGAATCTAACTCACGACCTCTTGCACCCAAAGCAAGAATCATACCACTAGACAAAACACCCAATTGATGGCGTATGCACTATTTACATAATGGGAACTATAGTGTTGGGAAAATATACTATTGGACCATGTAATGCGGACCACAGATAAATGCTCACTTTTAGGGTGTTTTTGGTTCGCACATGGGAATCGTAATTTGAATGGGTATCAAATACTTGTGGAAATGGTAATGGATTTTTGTGAAAGTATTTTGCATGTTTGGTAGTAGTGTGGAATGAGAATGATTATCAATAATGCTGTTTGGTTATGTATGATCCTATAATAAGAATAAAGATTTTAAAAATACAAGAACACAAAATCAAGATGAGAGATTGAGTATATGCGTGGGTGTGATTTGCTATAAACGGTAATGAAATAAAGTGAGAGGTGTTGTGAGAATCAAACTCACGACCTCTTGCACCCAAAGCAAGAATCATACCACTACACCAAACACCCAATTGATAACAAATGCACTATTTACGTAATGGGAACTATAGTGTTGGGAAATTATACTATTGGACCATGTAATGTGGACCACTGATAAATGCTCACTTTTAGGGTGTTTTTGGTTCACACATGGGAATCGTAATTTGAATGGGTATCAAATACTTGGAAATGGTAATGGATTTTATTGAAAGTATTTTGCATGTTTGGTAGTAGTGTGGAATGAGAATGATTATCAATAATGTTGTTTCGTTATGTATGATCCTATAATAAGAATAAAGATTTTAAAAATACAAGAACACAAAATCAAGATCAGAGATTGATTGAGTATATGCGTGGGTGTGATTTGCTATAAGCGGTAATAAAATAAGGTGCGGGGTGTTGTGAGAATCGAACTCATGACCTCTTGCACCCAAAGCAAGAATCATACCACTAAACCAAACACCCCATTGATAGAAAATGCACTATTTACGTAATTGGAACTATAGTGTTGGGAAATTATACTATTGGACCATGTAATGTGAACCACAGATAAATGCTCACTTTTAGGGTATTTTTGGTTCGCACATGGGAATCGTAATTTGAATGGGTATCAAATACTTGTGGAAATGGTAATGGATTTTTGTGAAAGTATTTTGCATGTTTGGTAGTAGTGTGGAATGAGAATGATTATCAATAATGCTGTTTGGTTATGTATGATCCTATAATAAGAATAAAGATTTTAAAAATACAAGAACACAAAATCAAGATGAGAGATTGAGTATATGCGTGGGTGTGATTTGCTATAAACGGTAATGAAATAAAGTGAGAGGTGTTGTGAGAATCAAACTCACGACCTCTTGCACCCAAAGCAAGAATCATACCACTACACCAAACACCCAATTGATAACAAATGCACTATTTACGTAATGGGAACTATAGTGTTGGGAAATTATACTATTGGACCATGTAATGTGGACCACAGATAAATGCTCACTTTTATGGGCCGTTTGGTTCACGGAATCAATTTGGAGGGAATAGGAATGATATTCCAAAGGGAATGGAATAGGTAAGGAATAGAATAGAAATTGTATTCTGTTGTTTGGTTCGCCGGTGGAATAGACTTTAGGAATTATATTTCCACTTTTGGTTGGTTAAGGAATAGAAATGGAATATATGGGTAAAAGACATAAATGCCCTTGTACAAAATATATTATTATTATTATTATTATTATTATTATTATTATTATTATTATTATTATTATTATTATTATTATTATTATTATTCGGAATTCAAATAAACTATTTTATAAACCATAATTTTACCTAAATGTTTGGGCTCAAATAAACTATTTTATAAGCCATAATTTTACCTAAATTTTAGCCCATACTATTGGTTCATCTTCAACCCCTCCTTGTGTCTATCTCTTTGTTCAATCTAGCAGACGCAACAAGCCAGCACCGTGAACTTGGATGACCCTCTGTCTCTCTACCTTGAACAAGCCACCACCCTCACTCTCTCTACCTTCTTCCCTCTCTTGCTTCCTCAATCAGCGACGGCGGCGATGGTGGAGCTCCGGTGAAGGCGGATTGAGACAGCAACGAGTAGATCGGCGAAACTCGAAGGCGGTTGACCTTTTTCCGGCGTGAATTGGACGATGAGCAGCAGATCTGGACCAAGTCCTCCTCTCCAGCGAACTGTTGCGGCGGCCTCCGGCGTGGGCAGTGGCGTCGTGGCGGCAATATTGGTGTTTTGATGTATGTATGTATATAATTAATATACTTATTTATAAAAAAAATATATAATAAATAGAGTAGGGGAAAGAAGTAACCCAGCAGTGGGAACAGGGAAGATGACTGGGATGATGATGATGTCAATGATGATGCTTCGACCTTCAACTTTCTGTTCACTGTTTTTATCAATATGGTTACGAGTTCTGACAAAAAAAAAATTCATATAAAAATTAAAGAAATGTAAATTTTAGTTTTAGTTGAGGGGTAAAATAGGAAATCTTAATTGTAGGCTATTCCTGACAACTTAGGAATATCCTAATACCTAAGGGGGGGCCGGAATCCCTATTCCCCTTACAAGGGGAATAGGTCGTTCCCATGAACAATGTTCCCGGGAATAGAAATTTCTACCAAACACCGGAATAGGTCTATTACTGGGAATGCTATTCCATTCCAGGCCTATTCCGCGAACCAAACGGGCCATTAGAGTGTTTTTGGTTCGCACATGGGAATCGTAATTTGAATGGGTATCAAATACTTGGAAATGGTAATTGATTTTAGTGAAAGTATTTTACATGTTTGGTAGTAGTGTGGAATGAGCATGATTATCAAAAATGTTGTTTGGTTATGTATGATCCTATAATGGGAATAAAGATTTTAAAAATACAACAACACAAAATCAAGATGAGAGATTGATTGAGTATATGCGTGGGTGTGATTTGCTATAAGCGGTAATAAAATAAGGTGAGGGGTGTTATGAGAATCGAACTCACAACCTCTTGCAACCAAAGCAAGAATCATACCACTAGACCAAACACCCAATTGATAGCAAATGCACTATTTACGTAATTGGAACTATAGTGTTGGGAAATTATACTATTGGACCATGTAATGTGGACCACAGATAAATGCTCACTTTTAGGGTATTTTTGGTTCGCACATGGGAATCGTAATTTGAATGGGTATCAAATACTTGTGGAAATGGTAATGGATTTTTGTGAAAGTATTTTGCATGTTTGGTAGTAGTGTGGAATGAGAATGATTATCAAAAATGCTGTTTGGTTATGTATGATCGTATAATAAGAATAAAGATTTTAAAAATACAACAACACAAAATCAAGATGAGAGATTGATTGAGTATATGCGTGGGTGTGATTTGCTATAAGCGGTAATAAAATAAGGTGAGGGGTGTTGTGAGAATCGAACTCACGACCTCTTGCACCCAAAGCAAGAATCATACCACTAGACCAAACACCCAATTGATGGAAAATGCACTATTTCGTAATAGGAACTATAGTGTTGGGAAATTATACTATTGGACCATGTAATGTGGATCACAGATAAATGCTCACTTTAAGAGTGTTTTTGGTTCGCACATGGGAATCGTAATTTGAATGGGTATCAAATACTTGGAAATGGTAATGGATTTTAGTGAAAGTATTTTACATGTTTGGTAGTATTGTGGAATGAGATTGATTATCAATAATGATGTTTGGTTATGTATGATCCTATATTAAGAATAAAGATTTTGAAAATACAAGAACACAAAATCAAGATGATAGATTGAGTATATGCGTGGGTGTGATTTGATATAAGCGGTAATAAAATAAGGTCAGGGGTATTGTGAAAATCAAACTCACGACCTCTTTCACCCAAAGGAAAAATCATACCACTAGACTAAACACCCAATTAATGATGAATGCACTATTTACGTAATGGGAACTATAGTGTTGGGAAATTATACTGGACCATGTAATGTGGACCACTGATAAATGCTCACTTTTAGGGTGTTTTTGGTTCGCACATGGGAATCGTAATTTGAATGGGTATCAAATACTTGGAAATGGTAATGGATTTTAGTGAAAGTATTTTGCATGTTTGGTAGTAGTGTGGAATGAGAATGATTATTAATAATGCTGTTTGGTTATGTATGATCCTATAATGGGAATAAAGATTTTAAAAATACAAGAACACAAAATCAAGATGAGAGATTGATGGTGTATATGCGTGGGTGTGACTTGCTGTAAGCGGTAATAAAATATTAGGTGAGGGGTGTTGTGAGAATCAAACTCACGACCTCTTGCACCCAAACAAAGAATCATACCACTAGACCAAACACCCAATTAATGGTAATTGCAATATTTATGTAATGGGAACTATAGTGTTGGGAAATTATACTATTGGACCACGTAATGTTGACCACAGATAAATGCTCACTTTTAGGGTGTGTTTGGTTCGCACATCGGAATCGGAATAGAAATGTGTATCAAATACTTGGTAATGGTAATGGATTTTAGTGAAATTATTTTGCATGTTTGGTTGTAGGGTGGAATGAGAATGATTATTAATAATGTTGTTTGGTTATGTATGATCCTATAATGGGAATAAAGATTTTAAATTCTACAAGAACAAAAAATCAAGATGAGAGATGGATTGAGTATATGCGTGGGTGTGATTTGCTGTAAGCAGTAATAAAATAGGGTGAGGGGTGTTGTGAAAATCGAACTCACGACCTCTTGCCCCCAAAGCAAGAATCATACCACTAGAAAAAACACCCAATTGATGGCGTATGCACTATTTACATAATGGGAACTATAGTGTTGGGAAAATATACTATTGGACCATGTAATGTGGACCACAGATAAATGCTCACTTTTAGGGAGTTTTTGGTTCGCACATGGGAATCGTAATTTGAATGGGTATCAAATACTTAGAAATGGTAATGGATTTTAGTGAAAGTATTTTGCATGTTTGGTAGTAGTGTGGAATGAGAATGATTATTAATAATGCTGTTTGGTTATGTATGATCCTATAATGGGAATAAAGATTTTAAAAATACAAGAACACAAAATCAAGATGAGAGATTGATGGTGTATATGCGTGGGTGTGACTTGCTGTAAGCGGTAATAAAATATTGGGTGAGGGGTGTTGTGAGAATCAAACTCACGACCTCTTGCACCCAAAGAAAGAATCATACCACTAGACCAAACACCCAATTAATGGTAATTGCAATATTTATGTAATGGGAACTATAGTGTTGGGAAATTATACTATTGGACCACGTAATGTTGACCACAGATAAATGCTCACTTTTAGGGTGTGTTTGGTTCGCACATCGGAATCGGAATAGAAATGTGTATCAAATACTTGGTAATGGTAATGGATTTTAGTGAAATTATTTTGCATGTTTGGTTGTAGGGTGGAATGAGAATGATTATTAATAATGTTGTTTGGTTATGTATGATCCTATAATGGGAATAAAGATTTTAAATTCTACAAGAACAAAAAATCAAGATGAGAGATGGATTGAGTATATGCGTGGGTGTGATTTGCTGTAAGCAGTAATAAAATAGGGTGAGGGGTGTTGTGAAAATCGAACTCACGACCTCTTGCCCCCAAAGCAAGAATCATACCACTAGAAAAAACACCCAATTGATGGCGTATGCACTATTTACATAATGGGAACTATAGTGTTGGGAAAATATACTATTGGACCATGTAATGTGGACCACAGATAAATGCTCACTTTTAGGGAGTTTTTGGTTCGCACATGGGAATCGTAATTTGAATGGGTATCAAATACTTAGAAATGGTAATGGATTTTAGTGAAAGTATTTTGCATGTTTGGTAGTAGTGTGGAATGAGAATGATTATTAATAATGCTGTTTGGTTATGTATGATCCTATAATGGGAATAAAGATTTTAAAAATACAAGAACACAAAATCAAGATGAGAGATTGATGGTGTATATGCGTGGGTGTGACTTGCTGTAAGCGGTAATAAAATATTGGGTGAGGGGTGTTGTGAGAATCAAACTCACGACCTCTTGCACCCAAAGAAAGAATCATACCACTAGACCAAACACCCAATTAATGGTAATTGCAATATTTATGTAATGGGAACTATAGTGTTGGGAAATTATACTATTGGACCACGTAATGTTGACCACAGATAAATGCTCACTTTTAGGGTGTGTTTGGTTCGCACATCGGAATCGGAATAGAAATGTGTATCAAATACTTGGTAATGGTAATGGATTTTAGTGAAATTATTTTGCATGTTTGGTTGTAGGGTGGAATGAGAATGATTATTAATAATGTTGTTTGGTTATGTATGATCCTATAATGGGAATAAAGATTTTAAATTCTACAAGAACACAAAATCAAGATGAGAGATGGATTGAGTATATGCGTGGGTGTGATTTGCTGTAAGCAGTAATAAAATAGGGTGAGGGGTGTTGTGAAAATCGAACTCACGACCTCTTGCCCCCAAAGCAAGAATCATACCACTAGAAAAAACACTCAATTGATGGCGTATGCACTATTTACATAATGGGAACTATAGTGTTGGGAAAATATACTATTGGACCATGTAATGTGGACCACAGATAAATGCTCACTTTTAGGGAGTTTTTGGTTCGCACATGGGAATCGTAATTTGAATGGGTATCAAATACTTAGAAATGGTAATGGATTTTAGTGAAAGTATTTTGCATGTTTGGTAGTAGTGTGGAATGAGAATGATTATTAATAATGCTGTTTGGTTATGTATGATCCTATAATGGGAATAAAGATTTTAAAAATACAAGAACACAAAATCAAGATGAGAGATTGATGGTGTATATGCGTGGGTGTGACTTGCTGTAAGCGGTAATAAAATATTGGGTGAGGGGTGTTGTGAGAATCAAACTCACGACCTCTTGCACCCAAAGAAAGAATCATACCACTAGACCAAACACCCAATTAATGGTAATTGCAATATTTATGTAATGGGAACTATAGTGTTGGGAAATTATACTATTGGACCACGTAATGTTGACCACAGATAAATGCTCACTTTTAGGGTGTGTTTGGTTCGCACATCGGAATCGGAATAGAAATGTGTATCAAATACTTGGTAATGGTAATGGATTTTAGTGAAATTATTTTGCATGTTTGGTTGTAGGGTGGAATGAGAATGATTATTAATAATGTTGTTTGGTTATGTATGATCCTATAATGGGAATAAAGATTTTAAATTCTACAAGAACAAAAAATCAAGATGAGAGATGGATTGAGTATATGCGTGGGTGTGATTTGCTGTAAGCAGTAATAAAATAGGGTGAGGGGTGTTGTGAAAATCGAACTCACGACCTCTTGCCCCCAAAGCAAGAATCATACCACTAGAAAAAACACCCAATTGATGGCGTATGCACTATTTACATAATGGGAACTATAGTGTTGGGAAAATATACTATTGGACCATGTAATGTGGACCACAGATAAATGCTCACTTTTAGGGAGTTTTTGGTTCGCACATGGGAATCGTAATTTGAATGGGTATCAAATACTTAGAAATGGTAATGGATTTTAGTGAAAGTATTTTGCATGTTTGGTAGTAGTGTGGAATGAGAATGATTATTAATAATGCTGTTTGGTTATGTATGATCCTATAATGGGAATAAAGATTTTAAAAATACAAGAACACAAAATCAAGATGAGAGATTGATGGTGTATATGCGTGGGTGTGACTTGCTGTAAGCGGTAATAAAATATTGGGTGAGGGGTGTTGTGAGAATCAAACTCACGACCTCTTGCACCCAAAGAAAGAATCATACCACTAGACCAAACACCCAATTAATGGTAATTGCAATATTTATGTAATGGGAACTATAGTGTTGGGAAATTATACTATTGGACCACGTAATGTTGACCACAGATAAATGCTCACTTTTAGGGTGTGTTTGGTTCGCACATCGGAATCGGAATAGAAATGTGTATCAAATACTTGGTAATGGTAATGGATTTTAGTGAAATTATTTTGCATGTTTGGTTGTAGGGTGGAATGAGAATGATTATTAATAATGTTGTTTGGTTATGTATGATCCTATAATGGGAATAAAGATTTTATATTCTACAAGAACACAAAATCAAGATGAGAGATGGATTGAGTATATGCGTGGGTGTGATTTGCTGTAAGCAGTAATTAAATAGGGTGAGGGGTGTTGTGAAAATCGAACTCACGACCTCTTGCCCCCAAAGCAAGAATCATACCACTAGAAAAAACACCCAATTGATGGCGTATGCACTATTTACATAATGGGAACTATAGTGTTGGGAAAATATACTATTGGACCATGTAATGTGGACCACAGATAAATGCTCACTTTTAGGGAGTTTTTGGTTCGCACATGGGAATCGTAATTTGAATGGGTATCAAATACTTGGAAATGGTAATTGATTTTAGTGAAAGTATTTTGCATGTTTGGAAGTAGTGTGGAATGAGAATGATTATCAATAATGCTGTTTGGTTATGTATGATCCTATAATGGGAATAAAGATTTTAAAAATACAAGAACACAATATCAAGATGAGAGATTGATTGAGTATATGTGTGGGTGTGATTTGCTATAAGCGGTAATAAAATAAAGTGAGGGGTGTTGTGAAAATCAAACTCACGACCTCTTGCACTCGAAACAAGAATCATACCACTAGACCAAACACCCAATTGATGGTGAATGCACTATTTACGTAATGGGAACTATAGTGTTGGGAAATTATACTACTGGACCATGTAATGTGGACCACAGATAAATGCTCACTTTTAGGGCGTTTTTGGTTCGCACATGGGAATCGTAATTTGAATGGGTATCAAATACTTAGAAATGGTAATGGATTTTAGTGAAAGTATTTTGCATGTTTGGTAGTAGTGTGGAATGAGAATGATTATCAATAATGCTGTTTGGTTATGTATGATCCTATAATGGGAATAAAGATTTTAAAAATACAACAACACAAAATCAAGATGAGAGATTGATTGAGTATATGCGTGGGTGTGATTTGCTATAAGCGGTAATAAAATAAGGTGAGGGGTGTTGTGAGAATCGAACTCACGACCTCTTGCACCCAAAGCAAGAATCATACCACTAGACCAAACACCCAATTGATGGAGAATGCACTATTTCGTAATAGGAACTATAGTGTTGGGAAATTATACTATTGGACCATGTAATGTGGATCACAGATAAATGCTCACTTTAAGAGTGTTTTTGGTTCGCACATGGGAATCGTAATTTGAATGGGTATCAAATACTTAGAAATGGTAATGGATTTTAGTGAAAGTATTTTGCATGTTTGGTAGTAGTGTGGAATGAGAATGATTATCAATAATGCTGTTTGGTTATGTATGATCCTATAATGGGAATAAAGATTTTAAAAATACAAGAACACAATATCAAGATGAGAGATTGATTGAGTATATGCGTGGGTGTGATTTGCTATAAGCGGTAATAAAATAAGGTGAGGGGTGTTGTGAGAATTGAACTCACGACCTCTTGCACCCAAAGCAAGAATCATACCACTAGACCAAACACCCAATTGATGGTGAATGCACTATTTACGTAATGGGAACTATAGTGTTGGGAAATTATACTACTGGACCATGTAATGTGGACCACTGATAAATGCTCACTTTTAGGGTGTTTTTTGTTCGCACATGGGAATCGTAATTTCAATGGGTATCAAATACTTGGAAATGGTAATGGATTTTAGTGAAAGTATTTTGCATGTTTGGTAGTAGTGTGGAATGAGAATGATTATCAATAATGCTGTTTGGTCATGTATGATCCTATAATGGGAATAAAGATTTTAAAAATACAAGAACACAAAATCAAGATGAGAGATTGATTGTGTATATGCGTGAGTGTGACTTGCTGTTAGCGGTAATAAAATATTGGGTAAGGGGTGTTGTGAGAATCAAACTCACAACCTCTTGCACCCGAAGCAAGAATCATACCACTAGACCAAACACCCAATTGATGGCGATTGCACTATATACGTAATGGGAACTATAGTGTTGGGAAATTATACTATTAGACCATGTAATGTGGACCACAGATAAATGCTCACGTTTAGGGCGTTTTTGGTTCGCACATGGGAATCGTAATTTCAATGGGTATCAAATACTTGGAAATGGTAATGGATTTTAGTGAAAGTATTTTGCATGTTTGGTAGTATTGTGGAATGAGAATGATTATCAATAATGCTGTTTGGTTATGTATGATCCTATAATGGGAATAAAGATTTTAAAATACAAGAACACAATATAAAGATGAGAGATGGATTGAGTATTTGCGTGGGTGTGATTTGCTGTATGCGGTAATCAAATAGGGTGAGGGGTGTTGTGAAAATCGAACTCACGACCTCTTACACCCAAAGCAAGAATCAAACCACTAAACCAAACACCCAATTGATGATAAATGTAATATTTATGTAATGGGAACTATAGTGTTGGGAAATTATACTATTGGACCATGTAATGTTGACCACAGATAAATGCTCACTTTTAGGGTGTTTTTTGGTTCGCACAGGGGAATCGGAATTGGAATGGGTATCAAATACTTGGTAATGGTAATGGATTTTAGTAAAAGTATTTTGCATGTTTGGTTATAGGGTGGAATGAAAATGATTATCAATAATGCTGTTTGGTTATGCATGATCCTATAATGGGAATAAAAGATTTTAAAAATACAAGAACACAAAATCAAGTTGAGATATTGATTGAGTATATGCGTGAGTGTGATTTGCTGTAAGCGGTAAAATATACCAACAAAGTGAGGGGTGTTGTGAGAATCGAACTCTTGACCTCTTGCACCCGAAGCAAAAATCATACCACTAAACCAAACACCCAATTAATAGTGAATGCAATATTTATGTAATGGGAACTATAGTGTTGGGAAATTATACCATTGGACCATGTAATGTTGAACCTAGATAAATGCTCACTTTTAGGATGTTTTTGGTTCGCACAGGGAAATCAGAATAGAAATGGGTATCAAATACTTGGTAATGGTAATGGACTTTAGTGAAAGTATTTTGCATGTTTGGTTGTAGGGTGGAATGAGAATGATTATCAATAATGCTGTTTGGTTATATATGATCCTATAATGGGAATAAAGATTATAAAAATACATGTGATTTGCTGTAAGCGGTAATAAAATAGGGTCAGGGGTGTTGTGAGAATCAAACTCACAACCTCTTGCACCCGAAGCAAGAATCATACCACTAGACCAAACACCCAATTAATGGTGAATGCACTATTTACGTAATGGGAACTATAGTGTTGGGAAATTATACTACTGGACCATGTAATGTGGACCACTGATAAATGCTCACTTTTAGGGTGTTTTTTGTTCGCACATGGGAATCGTAATTTCAATGGGTATCAAATACTTGGAAATGGTAATGGATTTTAGTGAAAGTATTTTGCATGTTTGGTAGTAGTGTGGAATGAGAATGATTATCAATAATGATGTTTTGTTATGTATGATCCTATAATAAGAATAAAGATTTTAAAAATACAAGAACACAAAATCAAGATGAGAGATTGATTGAGTATTTGCGTGGGTGTGATTTGCTATAAGTGGAAATCAAATAGGGTGAGGGGTGTTGTGAGAATCGAACTCACGACCTCTTACACCCAAAGCAAGAATCATACCACTAAACCAAACACCCAATTGATGATAAATGTAATATTTATGTAATGGGAACTATAGTGTTGGGAAATTATACTATTGGACCATGTAATGTTGACCACAGATAAATGCTCATTTTTAGGGTGTTTTTTGGTTCGCACAGGGGAATCGGAATTGGAATGGGTATCAAATACTTGGTAATGGTAATGGATTTTAGTAAAAGTATTTTGCATGTTTGGTTAAAGGGTGGAATGAAAATGATTATCAATAATGCTGTTTGGTTATGTATGATCCTATAATGGGAATAAAGATTTTAAAAATACAAGAACACAAAATCAAGTTGAGATATTGATTTAGTATATGCGTGAGAGTGATTTGCTGTAAGCGGTAAAATATACCAACAAAGTGAGGGGTGTTGTGAGAATCGAACTCACGACCTCTTACACCCAAAGCAAGAATCATACCACTAGACCAAACACCCAATTGATGGTGAATGCAATATTTACGTAATGGGAACTATAGTGTTGGGAAATTATACTATTAGACCATGTAATGTGGACCACAGATAAATGCTCACTTTTAGGGCGTTTTTGGTTCGCACATGGAAATCGGAATAGGAATGGGTATCAAATACTTGGTAATAGTAATGGACTTTAGTGAAAGTATTTTGCATGTTTGGTTGTAGGGTGGAATGAAAATGATTATCAATAATGCTGTTTGGTTATATATGATCCTATAATGGGAATAAAGATTTTAAAAATACAAGAACACAAAATCAAGATGAGAGATTGATTGTGTATATGCGTGAGTGTGACTTGCTGTTAGCGGTAATAAAATATTGGGTAAGGGGTGTTGTGAGAATCAAACTCACAACCTCTTGCACCCGAAGCAAGAATCATACCACTAGACCAAACACCCAATTGATGGCGATTGCACTATATACGTAATGGGAACTATAGTGTTGGGAAATTATACTATTAGACCATGTAATGTGGACCACAGATAAATGCTCACGTTTAGGGCGTTTTTGGTTCGCACATGGGAATCGTAATTTCAATGGGTATCAAATACTTGGAAATGGTAATGGATTTTAGTGAAAGTATTTTGCATGTTTGGTAGTAGTGTGGAATGAGAATGATTATCAATAATGCTGTTTGGTCATGTATGATCCTATAATGGGAATAAAGATTTTAAAAATACAAGAACACAAAATCAAGATGAGAGATTGATTGTGTATATGCGTGAGTGTGACTTGCTGTTAGCGGTAATAAAATATTGGGTAAGGGGTGTTGTGAGAATCAAACTCACAACCTCTTGCACCCGAAGCAAGAATCATACCACTAGACCAAACACCCAATTGATGGCGATTGCACTATATACGTAATGGGAACTATAGTGTTGGGAAATTATACTATTAGACCATGTAATGTGGACCACAGATAAATGCTCACGTTTAGGGCGTTTTTGGTTCGCACATGGGAATCGTAATTTCAATGGGTATCAAATACTTGGAAATGGTAATGGATTTTAGTGAAAGTATTTTGCATGTTTGGTAGTATTGTGGAATGAGAATGATTATCAATAATGCTGTTTGGTTATGTATGATCCTATAATGGGAATAAAGATTTTAAAATACAAGAACACAATATAAAGATGAGAGATGGATTGAGTATTTGCGTGGGTGTGATTTGCTGTATGCGGTAATCAAATAGGGTGAGGGGTGTTGTGAAAATCGAACTCACGACCTCTTACACCCAAAGCAAGAATCAAACCACTAAACCAAACACCCAATTGATGATAAATGTAATATTTATGTAATGGGAACTATAGTGTTGGGAAATTATACTATTGGACCATGTAATGTTGACCACAGATAAATGCTCACTTTTAGGGTGTTTTTTGGTTCGCACAGGGGAATCGGAATTGGAATGGGTATCAAATACTTGGTAATGGTAATGGATTTTAGTAAAAGTATTTTGCATGTTTGGTTATAGGGTGGAATGAAAATGATTATCAATAATGCTGTTTGGTTA